ACAGATTGAAAAGGTATGGAGACAAAATACATCCCTGATGGACCCCTTCCCAATTTTGAACCACGTAGTGTCTCCCTCCTCTGTTCTGATGACTGCCTCTTGGTCCAAGTATAGGTTTCGCATCAGCACAATCAAATGTTCTGGGATTCCCATTCTTCTCAGAGTCAGCCACAGTTTGTTGTGATCCACACAGTCAAAAGCTTTTGCATAGTCAATGAAGCACAGATAGACATTCTTCTGGTATTCTTTGCTTTCTGCCAAGATCCATCTAACATTAGCTATAATATCCCTTGTTCCATGACCTCTTCTCAATCCAGCCTGCACATCTGGCAGTTCTCTGTTTATGTATTGTTTCAAACATTTTTGGATAATCTTCAGCAGAATCTTGCTTGCATGTGATATTAATGATACTGTTCAATAATTTCCACACTATGAGATTTGAAAATCTACTGTGTATTTTCCAACTTTTAGTCAAAGACTTTTGTCAATTCATTTTTTTACAGTGTATTTCAAAGTAAGTACTAATAGGTATCTTAAAAACATGTCTTAGTAACCTAAATGTTACACAGCAATACATAAGAGTTGTAAATGTTTCATATCAAATCTTAAAAGTACTTGTTGTTATTGTTGTTAATTGCCATCAAGTCAAGCACAACTTATACTTAAGCTTAAATTATATTGCTGTTGTTGTTATTGTTGTGCACCGGCTAGGCAGAACAGACCCCTAGCTGACCTTCTGGCAGGTTTTTAGAGGCAGTTAATTGCAGGAGAGGAGACTGTCCATCCTTCTCCTATAGAGCAGCTGGTGGATTTGAACTGTGTGCCTTCAGGATTGCAGCACAGCTTTTACCACTAGGTCACCAGAATTCCTCTATTATATTATGGATACTAAAAATACTTAAATCTCACAGAATCTTAAAACTAGAATAACACTTCTTGTTGTTAAGTGCCACGCAATCCACTACGATTCACATGAACAACAGTGACCCTACGAACAACAGATGTGAGCGATGCCCTATCCCTGACCAGCCTCACGATGTCCAACATGCTGGGGCTCATTCTTACCATGCCAATCTATCTCACTGAGAGTCGTCTCTTTTGCTGGCCTCCACCTTCCCTGGCCTGATGTCTTTTTCTAAGGACCTTTTTAATTTTTTGTACTTCATCCAAGACAGATTTATTTATTTATTTTAAGACAGATTTATTTTTATTCTGGCAGTCTGTTGGATATTCAGTACTCTTTGCTAGTGCATAAAGGTTGGAACCATAGACTGACTAGTGTATCACAGTTATTTTGCATGTGAGAATTGTTGTTGCTGTCCAGTACCATCAAGCCAAGTACTACTCATAAGTGATCCCATAAACAACAGATCCAAGCTCCACCCTGGCATGCATCATCCTTATCATCCCTGATACGTATGAGTCCATTGCCTCAGACACTGCATCACTCTCTCTCCTTGAGGGTCTTCCTCTCTTTCATTGATTCTCCAACTCTACAAGCCTGATATCCTTTTCTAAGGAATAGCCTCTTCTAACAACGTATCTACAATTGACATGACGTTTCATCAACTTTGCATTCAAGGGACATCCTGGTTGCATTTTCTTCAACACGTATGTTTATTCTTTGGAGAATTCATGGGATATTAAGTACTCTTGTCCAATACCATAACTAAAATGCATAGATTCCTCTTCTATAATCTTTATTCATTGTCTAGCTCTCAGACACATAGCAGTTGATTAGAAAGACTATGGCCTGAATCAGCATACTTTAGCCTTTAGACTGGCATCAATGCTCTTCAAGACTTTTGAGGGATCCCTTACAGTAGACTTTCCCAACGCGATCCAACTCCTAATCTAGCTGCTAGTATCAAGAGTGTTAACCATAAATACATGCAAGATGAAATCACTGACAATTTCAGTCTTTTCTGTATCTATCATAATGTTGTCTATCGGTCAAGTGGGGAGGATTCTTATTTTCTTGATACTGAGAAAGAATCCATATTGAGGGATGCAGTATGTGATCCTCTGCAGCAAGTGTTTCATGTCCTCCTCACTTTCAGAAAGCAAAACTGTCATATGTATAACTCAGATTGTTGATGAACCTTCCTTCCATCCTGATGCCACATTCCTCTTCATAAAGTCTAGCTTCCTGGATGATTTGCTCAGCATACAGACTGAACAGGCATGGAGAGAGGCTACAACATCCTTTCCTTGCTCTGTTTGGACAATATCTTCTTCTACTAAGGTCCAGCTCTGGTGGGCTAGGAATAAGAAGCTCACTGCCATCTCAAAAGTATGTGGTTTGAATCCATCAGCTGCTCTGTGGGAGATGGATGGGCATGTGACTTACTTCCTCTGAAAACCAGCAGGAGGGTTAGCTATGTTCTGATTCAGTGGCAAAAAACAATAACAAGTATAACAAATCCAAGTGTGGATAATTGAGAAGACCTTCTCAAGATCATATAACAAATTTGTGACAGAGATGGGATTCAAGGATTGTGTCATTGTCACATCATGATACTTCCTGCAATCTCCTAAGTACTTGAAAACCCCTAAGTACTTGTCTAAAGTTTATCTTTGAGGTGAGATAGTTTCTGGTGTCTATACCCCACATTTGGCCAATTCTATTTTGATATTTTATTTCCCAATTAACCAAAACAAAGTCAGTTTAAGAATACTAATGAAAGAGATCAAAGGTCTACTATATCAAGATGCATTAATAATAACAACTGGTGATTGAAAGTAAAAGTTGGAAGCCAAAAATGGTAGTTGCAATATATGAACCTGATAACAAAAACAAGGCTGTAAATGGAACAATTTGAGTTTGGTACAATCAATGATTTATTTATTGCAAATACCGTAAAAAATTCATACATAGTGACAATACACATAGATTTCACCTGATGGACTACATAGGAATCAAAATGACCACATCAATGGAAAGAGCCAGTGGAGAGACTTAATATCAACAGTCAAAACAAGGCCAGGGACTGGGTGATTATGGAACAGGTCATCAATTACTCATGTGCAAGTTCAAACTGAGGATGATGAAAATTAAACAAGTCCACAAGAACCAAAATATGATCATGAGTCTACCCTCCCTAAATTTAAGGACAGGTTTGATGTATTTAACATTAATAATCAAAGAACAGATAAATTGTAGGATGACATCAAGGATATCTTCCATAAAGAAAGCAAAAGATCATTACAAATACAGAGGGGAAAGAAAAGGTGAAAATGGATGTCACAAGAGATTCTGAAAATTCATTAGAATGCAGAGGCCAAAACAAAGGGAATAAATGCAAAAGTAAAAGAGATGAATAGAATATCTGAAAAGGTAGTTTGACAAGACAAAGTAAATTACTATAATGTGATGTTTGTTCAAAGAGTTGGATTTATAAAACCAAAAGGGAAGTATATGCTCAGCATTTCTCAAGTTGAAAGAACTGAAAAACAATTTCAAACCTTAAGTTGCAATACTGAAGGATTCTATGAGCAAAATCTTCAATGATGTAAGAAATTTCAAAGGAAGATGGAGGGACACACCATACCAAACAGAACTGGGTGACACAGAATCATTTCAGAAAGTAGCACATTATCAAGAAACAATGGTGATGAAGGAAGAAGTTGAAGCTGCACTTAAGGCACTGGCAAAAATAAGGCCTCAGGAATTGCTGGAATATCAACTAACATGTTTCAACAAATAGATGCAGTCCTGGACATGCTCACTAAGCTTTGCCAAGAAATCTGGAAGACAGCTGCCTGGTGAACTGACTGGAAGAGAATCTATAATTGTTCCTGCTCCTAAAAAAGGTGATCCAATAGAACATGGAAATTATCAAGCCATATAATATGAAGGAACAGAACATTGATAGGGTAGTCCCAGAAATTCTAGCTGGATTCAGAAGAAGCCATGGCAATGAGGGGGTATTATTTTTGATGTTTGGTGGATCTTGGTTCAAAGCAAAAAATACCAGAAAGATGTTTATCTGTGTTTTATTGACTATGTAAAGGCATTTGACTGTGTAGATCATAACTAATTATGGCTAATATTAAGAAGAACTGGAATCACAGAACTCTTAACATGTTGCCACACACTTTTTAAATTGACGACGGTGCTTAGAAACACATTTGCCGTCATTTGTGGCAACATGTTAATTGTGCTTGTGCCAAAGCTATAGATAAAGAGCTGCTGCCTAAGCACAACAAAGGAACACTGAGGAGTTTAAGATCAGGAAATGTGAGTCAGAATAGTATCCTTCCTCCATGCCTATCGAATTTGTACGTTGAGGAAAATATTCCAAAGGTAGACTCATCAACAACCTGCATTATGCAGATGGCACAACTTTGCTCAAAGTAAAAAGGACTTGAACATTTGCTCTATAAGATCAAAGACTGCAGCCTTCAATATGGATTATATCTCAATATTAAGACCACAAAAATTCCACACCACTAGACCAATAGGCAATAAAATGACAGTGAAGAAAATACTGAAGTTGTCAATGATTCCATTTTTACTTTGGCGAGGGGGATCCACAGATAAAATGAAATCATGGTAACAGCAGTCAAGAAATCAAAAGATATGTTGCTCTGGGGAAATCTGGTGTCAAGGAGCTTTCAAATGGCTAAAAAGCAACACATGGCCTTTTGAATTACTTGCTACGCATCTAAAAGTTAGACAATGAATAAAGAAGATTGAAGAAGAATCGATGCCTCTGAGCTGTGGTGTTGGTGAAGAGTCCTGAACACGCCATGGACTGCCAAAAGAATAAACAATTCTGTTTGGGAGAATTCTTGGCACCCTTTTTAGCTCTATGATTTTGTTCTATGGGAAATAATGTCCAACTCCTTTACACAAATACTTTACAATGAATCATGATTGCTGTGCACAGATTTAAAAAAAAATAAATTCTTTTCTGATCTGTTAGACTACAGGTTTCTGTTACACACTAAAACACAACTGAAAGTCATGGTGCAATCATATTAAGAATCAAACATACCTCCAGATCTTCCATTGCCAATCTGAACAGCTGGCTGGAGGCTTCCTTCATTTTGCAATAAGTGAGGCAAATGATAATAAATACTTGGCACTTGAAGAGATTTTTTGCTTGTTAACTCCTTTAACAGCTTTAGAGTATTATCTGAAATACAAAGTATAATTAACCCTCAGGAATACTTTTGCCTTGTAGAAGTGACTGATTTTACAAACAAAGTTGTACAAATTTATGAGAACTACAACTAGACAATTTTTTTCCTAACTTCATACTTTGATTAACAACATTATCATTTAAAATGAAAATACTGTTTTTATTATTTTAAAGGAAAAATCATACTTAAGCAATCATATTGTTACAGAGTCATGATGCTAAAGCCAAGATCAGCAAGAATAGTAGGAGAAGGTGGAATGAGATGCACCAGAACCCACATGCTACTGAAGAGACTCTAAACAGAGTATCTGTTTATGAAAACATAAGTAATAACAATAAGCATAGTGAATACCATTAACTTTCATTTTCTGCTATTACATTTCACCAAAATTTCACATGAAAGTTGTTTTTTAAATTAAAATAATTTAAACAGCATAAGTTGAGAATAATTAGTAGTATAGATCATGACTTTCAAATAGTTTTCATTTTCATTAAAGAACTAGTGAACTATTTAATAAGTGAAAACTCAGCAGTACAAGAAACATTGTTTCAAAATGTCAATAAATAACAACTTAATCTTCTAAATAAGGAAAGTGGCAGTAAGGATTTTATGCCTTCATACAAAAGTAACACAAATATTTAATGTAAAATAAAGGTAAGAACCTAATTTATAAAAGAAATACAGATGTCTGCAATACGTGAAATTAGGTGGCCTGGTGGCAAGAATCTGCTCTGCAATCTTGTAGGCACTCTGTTTGAATCCACCAACTGCTCTTTGGGAGAAGGATGGGCAGTCTCCTTCTGTGCGATTAACTGCCTCTGAAAATCCTCCAGAGGGTCAGCTATGGATTGGTTCTGACTTGATGGTACACAACAACAACAATGAACAAAGACACAGTTATAAATGTTGTTGTTAGGTGCCACTGGGTTGACTATGATTCCTAGCCTATGAGCAACAGATCAAAAGATACCAATTTAATATATTAGCTGATTTAACAATAATATTAAACATAAGATATAATATTAAATTTACTATAGTATTACATTTAAATTCTATTTAACAGATTAGCAGATTTAACAGTAATAATAAATCATGGCAATATGATAAATGTCTCAACCATTTAAAATATTAAAAAAATGTTTAACAAGACAGGATGCAATAAATGTTGGAGAGGATGTGGAGAGACTGGCTCTCTCATGCACTGTTGGCGGGATTGTAAAATGTTACAACCATTCTGGAAGGCAGTTTGGTATTTCTTCAAATAGCTGAACATAAAAATCCTATATGATCCAGCTATTGTACTGCTAGGAATAGACTCCAAGGAAATGAGTACTGACACATGAACCAAGATATGTACAGATATGTTCACAGTAGTGGTATTCATAGTGGTAAAATGGAAACAGGTCAAACTCTCTCAACAAATGAATGGATTGAGAAACACATTGACACAATGGATTCCTAATATGTAACACTAAGGAGTAATAATTTTGTAAAATACTATATAACACAGGAGAGTCTAGAGAACAATATACTGAGTGAACTAACTTAAGTCTCACAAAGAGACTGCATAAGACCATTAAGGTAAAATAGAAGGATAACTAGTAAAATGTATATATGGAATGTCCAGAAGGGAAAAGGGGAAGGAGGCAGGGAAAGGGGGTGGGGAAAGAGGAAGAATGGAAATTCCTAGGCTAGCAGAGTTTAGTGAGAGGATGGGAGGGGTGAAGGAATAGGAAAGGTTCAAAAGAGACTAAAAAAGATGGGGTAATAACAAACATAGATTAATAGTAATTATATGAAATATAATTAATATGAATGATTGTATGAAACACAATGTAAATTAAAAGACTGTATAAAACATAATGTATATGAATGAAGCATAGTGTAAGTGAATTATTGTATGCAAACCAATAAAACATGGAAAAAATCTGTTTCAGGCACTATGTGTTAAGAATTAGCAGTTATCAAAACAAAGATCTTATTTCTAAGAAAAATACAATAAAAAATTAATTCAGGTACTACCAGAAATGTGGTCAGATTTATAAACAAAGATGTTCATCAAAAAGTTAAGATAAAAAACCTGGTGTTGGGAGGATCACCAGGAAAAAAACCCTAGTGACCTAATTACAGAGAAAGATTTTATATACTTAGTATAAGATTAGGGAGCTCTGGTGGCCTAGAAGTAAGGGGCTGCATTGCCAAAGTGATTTGAATTCACCAGCTGCTCTGCAGGTGAAAGATGGGCAATTTCCTCCCATGCAGTTTTTTGCCTCTGAAAATCCACTGGTGGGTGAGCTATCTGTCAGTTCCAATGTGAAGGCACATACTAAAGAAAAGCATATATGAAACCAAGTCTCTCCCTGGAAGCAAGGATTCTGAAGCCCTGTCTCACATACTGGAATGTGACCAGGAGGGACCAGTCTTTGGAGAAAGACATCATGCTTGGAAGGGGGGAGGGACAGCGCAGGAGAGGTAGACCTCAGATGAGATGGAATGATAGAGTTATGGGGTTAGGTGTGTCAGAGTCAGTGAGACTGGCTCAGGATAAGGCACAGTTTAGAGCTATTGGGCATAGGGTTGCTATGAGCCATAGGCAATTTGATGGCACATAACAACAACAACAACACTAAATGAAAAAGTAAATTATTCTAGAAGATTATTAAAATTTGAGGCAACTAATTATACACATATATCAATTCAGTTTTTTTATTAATTGGAAAAGTACAGAAAATGACTGGCATTTATTTCTGACCAGAAAATTCTCAGAAAAGAAGTATCTCACAATCCTACCAAAAGCAATATAAGTTTAGCATAATTCCAATATAGATACCAAATTCATTTTTAAAAGAAATAGAAAAGGCAATTGGCAAGTTTATTTGGAGAGGAAAGAGAGCACAAATAAGCAAAGCACTTGAAAGACAAGAATGAAGTGGAACGCATAGCACTCCCTGATCTGAAAACCTATTACACAGCTGAAATAACCAAAACAGCAGGGTGCTGGTGCAATGACAGGCACACAGACGAATGGAACAGAATTGAGAATTGAGAAATTGACCCATCTATCTATGGTCAACTGATACTCGACAAGGAAACAAATCATATCACATGGAGAAATGAAAACCTCTTCAATAAATGGTGCTGGCAAAACTAGACTGCTCCCTGCAGAAAGCTGAAGCAGTATCAACACCTTTCACCATATAAAAAAAATCAACTCAAAGAGGATCAGAGATCTAGGGGTAAAGCCTGAAACCATAAAGATCATAAGGGACAAACTGGGACCAAATATCGAAGGCCACACCTAAGGTATAAAGAGGCTGATATGTATAGCTAGAAACACACAACCAGAAGAAGATAAGGTTGGACCTTCTAAAGATTAAATCTCTGTGAGCATCAAAAACTTTATCCAACATGGTGAAAAGAAAACCTACTGACTGGGAAAAATCATTTGGCAATACCATTTCAGACAAGGGTCTTATCACAAAAGTTTACAGAGCCTCCACAAGAAAAAGACTGATAGGTTCAACCGCTTGTCTTGGTGTCCGCAGCACCTTCCACTGCTTTCCTGAATGAAGAGAACCATCCTCCCAGAAATTCACCATGTCTATTTCAAAGATTCACACCAGAGAGATCTTTGACTCTCGTGGAAATCCCACTGTTGAGGTTGATCTTTATACTGCAAAACGTCTCTTCAGAGCTTCTGTACCCAGTGGTGCATCAACTGGTATCTATGAGGCTCTGGAGCTCCGGGACAATGATAAGACTCGGTATCTGAGGAAAGGTGTCTCAAAGGCTGTTGAGCACATCAATAAAACTATTGCACCTGCCTTGATTAGCAAGAAACTGAATGTTGTGGAACAGGAGAAGATTGACAAGCTGATGATTGAGATGTATGGAACTGAGAATAAATAAAAATTTGGTGCCAGTGCTATTCTGGGAGTGTCTCTTGCTGTCTGTAAGGCTGGAGTAGTTGAGAAGAGGTCCCCCTGTATCGGCACTTGCTGACTTGGCTGGCAATTCCAAAGTCATTCTGTCAGTTCCCACTTTCAATGTCATCAACGGTGGCTCTCATGCTGGCAACAAGCTGGCTATGCAGGAGTTCATGATCCTCCCTGTCGGAGCAGTAAGCTTCAAAGAAGCCATGCGCATCGGGGCTGAGGTTTACCACAACCTGAAGAACATCATCAAGGACAAGTATGGCAAGGATGCCACCAATGTGGGGGATGAAGGTGGCTTTGCTCCTAACATCCTCGAGAACAAAGAAGTCCTGGAACTGCTGAAGACAGCGATTGGGAAAGCTGGCTACACTGACAAGGTGGTGATCGGCATGGATGTTGCTGTCTCAGAGTTCTTCCTCTTTGGGAAGTACGACCTGGACTTTAAGTCTCCTGATGACCCCAGCAGGTACATCTCACCTGACCAGCTGGGAGACCTGTACAAGTCCTTCATCAGGGACCACCCAGTGGTGTCTATCGAAGATCCCTTCGACCAGGATGATTGGAGCACCTGGACAAAGTTCACTGCCAGTTCAGGGATCCAGGTGGTAGGAGACGATCTTACTGTGACCAACCCCAAGCGAATTGCCAAGGCTGTGAATGAGAAGTCCTGCAACTGCCTTCTGCTCAAAGTGAATCAGATCGGCTCTGTGACTGAGTCTCTTCAGGTGTGCAAGCTGGCCCAGTCCAATGGTTAGGGTGTCATGGTGTCTCATCGTTCTGGAGAAACTGAGGATACTTTCATTGCTGACCTGGTGGTGGGACTCTGCACTGGCCAGATCAAGACAGGTGCACCTTGCCGATCTGAGCGCTTGGCCAAGTACAACCAGATCCTCAGAACTGAAGAGAAGCTGGGCAGCAAGGCTCGGTTTGCTGGCCGGAAGTTCAGAAACCCTCTCGCCAACTAAGCTCTGGGCAGCCAGTTTCCTAGTCAGCTCATTAAATCTCTGCTCCTGGTGCAAATGGCAGCTCCAGGCATCAGACCAGTACTGCAGGGCCTC